TTTTAGATGGAGTTTTTACTCAATGTGGGATGACACATGTTGAAGGTCAAACCAACTTAACATTTCCCTGAATCACACAAGGAAGAAGATTTCTAAACTCATGAAAGCTTTCTCCATTCCTGCCTTGAGTTTCTCTTCTCAGACACTCACAGTAAGTTTACCATCTCCATTCAGGTTTCTTAGTTAATTAAAACCCAAACTCCATCCTGACATTCTTCTGAGTGTTTGCATGATCATTTAAGTTCAGCCTCAGGAATTACAACTGGGGTAACCTTGGCTGGAAGAAGGGAAATGAGAGTTCTAGAACATCAGCTAGTGTTGAATTCAGTTCTTAAACCAATGGTGTCTCCTTATACTATCTACTTAAACATTTTGTGATTAAATATTTTTATTTGTGATAACACAAATTCCCTAATGAAGAGGGGCTAGTGCATCCCAATTACTGCCCCAAACAGTAATTATGCTTGTTGGATTGGGTATAAATGTTTTTTTTCCAAGCACCATCTAAGTAGAAATCACACTGAACCCGCTATAATTTCCAGTTATATAACTGAGGCACAATCAACTACATGGGTGTTTAAAGTCTGCCCTTTGATACATTTTGACACTTCACAACTATCAAGAAAACAAACATATCCATTAATTCCCCAAATTTTCCCATGTCCCCTTGAAAATTTTCCCTCTCCTGTTTCCTTCTCCAAGCACAAGCAACACTGATGTGTTTCCTGTCACTACAGATTTTACTTTCTAGAATTTTACATAAATGTCATGATCTGTTATGCATTCTTTTTTATTTTCTGGTGTTACCCAATGAAATTATTTTGAGGTTCATCAGTGTTGTTTTATGTATCAGTAGTTTATTCTTTTTAATTTCTGGATTGTATTTCACTGTATGTATACATGAAAATTTGTTTATCCATTGAACTCTTGATGAAGGTTCAGGTTGTCTCCAGGTTTTTGCTAATAGAAATAAAGCTGTTATTTACATTTGTATACATGCCTTTTTTTGGATAAATGCTTCTATATATTTTGGTTAAATACCCGTGATTAGAATATCTGAGTTATAAAACAGGTATATCATTAACTTTTAAATCAGCAGTCTCCAACATTTTTGGCACCAGGGACTGGTTTTGTGGAAGACAATTTTTCCATGGACTGGGGTAGGGAGAGGAGGGTGATGGTTTCAGAAGAATTCAAGTACATTACATTGATATTCCACTTTATTTCTATTATCATTACATTGTAATATACAATGAATGAACCATACAACTCTCTATAATGTAGAATCAGTGGGAGCCCCAAGCTTTTTTCCCTGCAACTAGATGGTCCCATCTGGGGGTGATGGGAGACAGTGACAGATCATCAGGAATTAGATTCTCATGAGGAGCATGCAACCTAGATCCTTCACAGGTACAGTTCACAATAGGGTTCATGCTCTTATGAGACTCTGATGCTGCTGCTGATCTGACAGGAGGTGGAGCTCAGGCAGTTGTGAGTGATGGGGAGTGGCTGTGAATACAGATGGAGCTTCACTTATTCACTGGCCACTCGCCTGCTGTGTGGCTGAGTTCCTAACAGGCCAAGGACTGGTACTGGCCAGGGGATTGAGGGCCCCTGTTTTAAAGAAACTGAAATAGTTTTCCAAAGTTGTTTCACTGTTTTACATTCTTATCAAGGATGTGTGAGTGTTCAAGTTCCTCCACATCTTCACAAGCTTGCTATAATCAAACTTTAAAAAAAAAATGTAAAATATATGTATAGTGATATTTCATGTGGTTTTAATGGAATTTCCCTAATGACTATGATGTTCAAAATCTTTTCTTGTGCTTATTTTCCATTAGCATAACTTTTCTGTGTCTGCTCAAATGCTTTGATCAACTTTTAATTGGGTTGCTTATTTTCTTATTATTTTTCTAGAGTTATTTATGTATTCTGTATAAAAGTTTTTCATCACATGTGATTTTCCTGTGTTTTCTCTCAATCTCTGGCATGAGCTTTCATTGTCTTAACAGTGTCTTCAAGAAAAAATTGATACTTTTCACTTTGTTGAAATCCAATGATCAATTTGGCTAGATGGAGTGTTCTACAAACATCTACTTGCAAGTGAGTTTCTTGGAGGCAGCCTAGAGTTGGGTCTTGTATATTTTATTCAATACAACCATCTCTGAATTTCAATTTGCATGTTTGGTTCATTTACATTTAATGCGACTATTGATATGGTTGTGTTTAAAATTGCCATCTTGTTATTTATTTTTTATTTGTGCCATCTGTTCATGGTTTATTTTCTCTTTTTTTTTTTTTTGCCTCCTTTTGGATTGAGTGTTTTTGTTTTGCTTTGTTTTGTTTGTAGAAAGTGATTTATTTAAAGAGGTAGAGAAACAGGAGAAGGAGAGAGAAAGAAACAGCTAACCCTCACACTGGGTGAGAGAATCCAGAAAGATGGAATCCAGGAGAGGAAAGCAGCTTCCACACTGAGTGGAAGGGAATAGAGAGAGAGATGGAGTTTAGGAGGGGAAGACAGGCTTCCATGAGAGAGTGTGTAAGGGGACTCCAGAAGGAAAATCCAGGATAGAGAAACACAGCTTCCACGAAGGGTTCATGGAAGGGGATTGGATTGGGTATTTTTATGAATCCATTCTGGTTAATTGTGTTGGTTTATTAGTTTTAATTATTTGCTGTGTTACTATTGCAACTGCTTTAGAGTTTAGGACACACTTTTTTAATCTTATCGTAGTCTAGTTTCAAATGATATCATACTACTTCACTTATAGTATCAGAAGCTCAAAACAGTGTTTCTAATTATTCCCTTCTGGTCTTTGTGCAAGCACTGTCATCCGATATGTTTAGTTACGTAGTTGCACCTTGAGGTAGTGGTGGTGGAATAAATTCATATCATTACTCCTTCATGGAAAAAATGAAAGTCCACATTCTAATTTTTATTTTATATTTGTTTTATTCTGTTTAAGGAATGGCGCCAGGGGCTATTAAGGTATTATCTTTTTATGGTCTTCTACTCGTAGTATCTGGAAAGGTATGGAAAGAAATATTATCAGATATAATAATAAACCAGAGATTTTCTTGGACAAGCTATTTTGCATTTTTCTTATTTTGCATCTTAATGTATATAAAAGAAAGTTCCACATAAACTAGTGATAACTTTTGTTCACCAAACATCTATAAACATAAAAGAAAATGGGAAATATATATTATGTTATGTAAGCATTCTTTATCAGCAACCCTTTTTAATGAATATAATATTTATAATTTTATTTTGTGTATTTGGGATACAAATTTTGGCTGTAACAGATACAGATAAATAGATAAATAGATAATAGATAGACAGATAGACAGATGACAGATAGGTAGATAGATGATTGATGGATAGATTTTTTTCTAAGAAATAGGTACAAGAATTAATACTAATGGTTAGAAATTATTATTTCTTTATTTTATTTTCCCTTCTGCCTCAAACAAACACATACAAAAACTCACCAAAGCAAGAATATATAAAAGAAAATATGATAATGAACGGTGATATAGATATAATGAACTTGACTGATGTTTTCAAAAGTTCAGTGGTCTGTACGATATTGAGTAAGAAATCCACAAAATTCAGAAGCATACAAATTAAGATAGCCATATTTATCAGGATTTCTCAAACATCCTACTGGCAGAAATGCTTTTTGCTTTCCAATATCGTGTAGTACTTTTTGGAAACCCATCTTGGGTTTTCCCATGAATTGAGGCTATCGGTAGCTCCTCAATAAGCTGACGTGACATTCACTCAAGTTCAAAGTTAGCACCCCATAATAGTCACCAACATTTAATGTCAACATTGTTCAAGAAAAAATAATCTATTGATCTAGATAAAAATACAACTATCAAACACATAGAAATGATATAAAAAATATTAGTCTTTGAAAGGAAGCCCATACATCAATACATTGTATTAATAACTCCCTGAAAATGCACTCTGCTGGCTTCTTTGTCTTTGATGTGATAACATCATTTAAATTCTTTTCATATATTATTGTCTTCATATTCTTAAAATGAAGAGAAAATGATTTATAATATGCTATAAACATTCAAAGAAATACCCTTGTATTTTATTGCTTTCATCTAGACTACTTGTTAATTCAAATTTTATGGTTTAATTTTAGGCAAATTTTGAATTAGCAATGATTTCAGTATACTACGTGTATTAAACCCATCATTATAAACCACTTAGGAGCTTTTTGGAATTCACATCACCTGTCAGGTATGAAATGGGCACAAAAACATTGGCAAATGCCACAAGATCACGCAATCTCAGTAAATGAGCTAACTTAGCAAGTTGTACTTGCTTCAGACTATTTAGCAAATGTTGTAAAGCAAATTGGTTTTGTAGTAAAGGCAAAATGAACATGTTTGACTCTTAAAATAATGTAAAACCTATTATCCAAAGCAAGGAAGAAGGTAAAGATTTGTGCTATCAGCAGCACCATAATTGGTCAGCTTATTCCAATGTGTATGTGGATAAAGGTTTTGTTTTTCTTTCTAAAATGAAGCAACTTTTAGTCACTGTCACTCACATAAACAATGCCCTGCAGTATAAGATCAGACTTTTTCATGTATAAAGGTGATTTTAACAATGAAAGTAAAGAGATTAAACAAAGACACACACACTTTTCATTTTGCTGGTTTTCCTTTAAGATTGTTGTGGTCATATACAAAATAAACTTTACAATAATTTCAGTGACCAGGTCAGTTTTCTGGCCTAAGCAACCAATTTGGTCACTGTAATAATTTCAAGAATCTATGCAGACTTTATTTTTAAGAAACAAAGTCTTGCTCTGTCATTCAGCCTGGAGTGCAGTGGTGCAATCACAGCTCACTGCAGTTTTGATACACCTTAGCCTCCCGAGTAGCTAGAGCTACAATCTTGTGCCACAATACCTGGCCAACTTTTGTTTATTTGTTGTAGAGATGGGGTCTCACTGTATCACCCCACCTAGTATCAAACTTCCTGTTTTTCTGCTGTGCAGGACACATTTCCTGCATCTCCTGTGCAAGGCAGACTTTCTGCTTCTCCTCTGTGCTCAACACACTTCCTGTTTCTCCACAGTGCAGAACACACTTCCTTTGTCTCTGCTGTGCATGACACCCTTTCTGTTTCTCCTCTGTGTAGCACACTTTCTGTTCTTCCTCTGTGCATGACACATTTTCTGTCACTCCCATGTACATGACACACTTTCTGTTTCTCCCCTGTGCAAGACACACTTCCTGTGCCTCCTTTGTGAATGACAATCTTCCTGTGTTTTCTCCATGTAGCACACACTTTCTGTTCCTCCTCTGTGCATGACACACTTCCTGTTTCTCTACTGTGCAGGAACACTTCCTGTGTCTCTCCTGTGCATGACACACTTCCTGTATCTTCCCTGTGGGGGACCCACTTTTTCATTCTTTTCTATGTAGCACACTCTTTCCATTCTTCCTCTGTACGTGACACATATTCTGTTACTCCCTTGTACAGGACACACTTCCTGTTTCTTCCTTGTGCAGGACACACTTCCTATTTCTCCTGGGTGTATGACACACTTCCTATTTCTCCTGGGTGTGTAACACACTTCCTGTTTCTTGTTTCTTTCCTATACAAGACATACTTCCTTTGCCTTTCCTGTGAATTGCACCCTTCCTGTTTCTCCTGTTTAACACATACTTTCTGTTCCTTCTCTGTGCATGGCACACTTCCTGTTTCTCCCCTGTGTGGGACACACTTCATGTTTCTCTCCTGTACATGACACCATTCCTGTTTCTTCCTTGTGCAGCACACACTTTCTGTTCATTTTCGGTGCATAGCACACTTCGTGTTTCTCCAATGTGCAGGACACATTTCCTTTTCCTCCAGTGTGTAGGACATACTTCCTGTTTCATCACTGTGCAGGACACGCTTCCTGTTTTTCTCTTTGCAGGACCCACTTCCTGTTTCTCCCCCATACAAGACACATTTCCTGTGCTTCCCCTGTTTATGATACCCTTCTTGTTTCTCCTCAGTGTAGCACACACTTTGTTTCTCCTCTGTGAATGACACACTTCCTGTGTCTCTCTTGTGCAGGACACACTTCTTGTTTCTCCCCTGTGTAGCACACAGTTTCTGTTCCTCCTCTATGCATGACACATTTTCTGTTACTCCCATATGCATGACACATTTCTTGTTTTTTCCCTGTGGAGGGCATACTGTCTGTTTCTTCTCTGTGCAGTACACACTTTCTGTTTCTTCTCTGTGCAGTACACACTTTCTGTTTCTTCTCTGTGCAGTACACACTTTCTGTTCTTCCAGTATGCAGAACATATCTTCTGTATCTCCCCTGTGCAGGACACACTTCCTGTTTTTTCCCAGTGCAGGACACACTTCCTTTGTCTCTCCTGTGCCTGACATCCTTCCTGTTTCACCCCTGTGCAGCTCACACTTTCCATTCCTCCTCTGCGCATGACACATTTTTTGTTAGTTCTGTGTGCATAACTCACTTCCTGCTTCTCCCCTGGGCAAAACACTCCTTCTGTTTTGTCTTAGTGTAGCACACACTTTCTGTTTCTCCTCTGTACATTACACACTTCCTGTTACTCTGCCGTGCAAGACACACTTTCTGTGTCTCTTCTGTTCATGACACACTTCCTGTTCTTCCCTGTAGATGACACACTTCCTGCTTCTCTCCTGTGTAGCACACACTTTCTGTTCCTCCTCTGTTCATGACACATTTTTTGTTTTTGCCATGTGCATGACACACTTTCTGTTTCTTCCCTGTGCAGGAAACACTTCTTGTTACCCTCCTGAGACAGACACACTTCCTGTTCCTCTTCTATGCAGCATACACTTCCTGTGTCTCCCCAATGCAGGATGCACTTTCTGTTCCTTTCTTGTGCAGGCCACACTTTCTGTTCCTCCTCTTTGCAGGACACTTTCTTTGTTGCCCCTCTGCTTTACACACTTCCTGTGTCTTCCTTGTGCAGAACACTATTCCTGAGACAAAGATACTTCCTGTTTCTCCTCTGTGCAGGACACACTTTCTATTCCTCCCATGTGCATGATACACTTCCTGTTTCTCCCCTGTGCAGCACACACCTTCTGTTTCTGTGTTGTGTGTGACACACCTCCTGTCTTCTCTGTGCAGGATACACTTCCTGTTTCTCCCCTGTGCTGAACCAAATTTGTAGCTTTTTTAAAACTCACCCCCTCCCGCTCTTTCCCCCTAGTATGCAAAGTCCATTCTATCATTCTCTGCCTTTGCCTCCACATAGCTTAGCTCCTGCTTATGAGTAAGAACATACAATGTTTGGTTTTCCATTACCGAGTTACTTAGAATAATAGTCTTCAATTCTATCCAGGTCCCTGCAAATGCCATTAACTCATTGCTTTTTGTGGCTGAGTAATATTTCATTGTATAAATATACACCACAGTTTCTTTACCCTCATTGATTGATGGGCATTTGGGCTGGTTCCATATTTTTGCAATAAAAAACACAATTACTCTTGCACCAACCACAATACTATTTTATAGGTTAAGTATGCTCCTAAGCACTTGAGATACTACATCATACAAAACAAATAAAGCTCATCTTTTATAAAACTCACTTTTTAGTAGGGGAAGAATGGTAATGAGCAAATAAATGTGTCTTTAGTCAGGTAATTGTAATAATTGGAAAGAAAAACCACAATATTGAGAGTAGCAAGTCAAGGAGAACTTTTGTAGAAAGTAGTTTGGGATACCTCTCTGAAAATATTATATTTTGAAGGAAGTAAGAAAGCACACAACATTGATAGCTGCTGGGAAAAACATGCAAAAACAAAGGAACAGAAATGGCAAAGACAAATCTCCTAATCATGGCAGTGGGATTATGACGTTTGAGGAAATGTGGGCAGAAGAGTGACTGGAACACAGAAAATGGAGTTGACGAAAGGATATTGGATAGAATGGGAAGAGAGGTGGATGAGGGTCTTGTAGGATTTCTAACGATTTGATTCTACTCTGTTGAGATGGGAATCCTCAGAGGGTTTTGAGAAAAGTAGACGTGTTCCCTTATTTGGTTTTTTAAAAGGTCACTCCAACTATAGACTGAAGGAGGACAAGAGTAACAGCAAAGATTGATATGAGTTTATCATAACTAGAGGTGGAAAAGAGGACGGGGTATGAAAAAGGACAGGATTCTGGCACTGGAGAGTATTTGTTCTGGGTATATTTTGAAAGGCGAACAGATAGAGTAAGTTCAAAGACTTGAGTGTGGGTTATTCATAAAAGGACAGAAGAAAGACTTTTAGTCTATGCAACTGTTAGAGTAATAGTGTAAATTTTTGTTTAGGTGGGAAATATTTTGGGACCAAATTCAGGGGAGAGGTAGGGCTCAAACAAGTTCATCCAGAGATGTTCAATTTGGGATCAGCATCACGCAGCTACACCTCCTACTCCAGTAAAATAGCTCAGCCTGTTGCACACCTGCTGGTATTAACACAGTCAGGAACAAATAGCAAAATGAATTTTGTAAGGGGATGCATCCAATATCTTAAAAACACCATATACCTAGGAACAAATATAATGACAGATGTAAAGGATCTTCTGCACAAAACTATATTGTTTAGGGAAATTTTAAATGACCTTGAGATAATGAGCACAAAAATACAGTTAGGAGCCAGGTGAGGTAGTTCATGCCTGTAGACCCAGCACTTCAGGAGACTGAAACAGGACCATTGCTTGACGCCAAGAATTTTAGATCAGACTAAGCAACACAGGAAGACTCTGTCTCTGCAAAAAAAAAAAAAAAAGAAAAAATTAAAGTTTGGCTGAGCATGGCACGGTCCCAGCTACTTGGAAGGTTAAATGAGGTGGGAGGATCGCTTGAGCCCTAGAGTCTGAGGCTGCAGTGAGCTACAATTGCACCACTACACTCCAACCTTGACGACAGTGTAGAACTCATTCTCTAAAAAAATAAAACAAAAATACAATTTGCTAGAAAAAATAAGAAGCTATAGTATTTAATAGCACAGTAGGGGGATAACAGTTATCAATAATTTACAGTATATTTCAAAATAGCTGGAAGAGAAGATTTAAAATCTACTCAACAAAACAAAATAATAAATGTTTTAGGCGATGGTTACCTCAATCACCCTGATTGGATCATTACACATTGTATACCTGTATCAAAATATCACATGCACTCCCAAAATATATACAACTGTTACATATCAAAAATAAATAAGTAAATAAATAATTGCCTAAATAAACTGACATACAGATTTTTTTAATATCTGGAGATATCAATAATGCATCTCCATGTGAGTGGCAAATTGGTCGTGGGATATAAAACTTTGGAGTTTTCTGCCAAGATTCTGGAAAAGGAAAAGAAACATTGGTCCAGATATAAATGTAGGCATTAGCAAGAAATAAAAGCTATTTAATCTTTTAGAACAAGATGATATCAAACACAGAGTGCATGTACAAAAAGATGAGCTCACCCTAAAACTGAGCTCTGGAACTCTCCAAATGTTAGCATTTAAGGGAAATACAGAAAAATACCAAAAATACAGAGAAAGGAGTTGCCATTGAGCTAAAAGGAAGTCCAAGAAATAGCATCATTTCAGGGAACAAGTAAGGTAATTGTTACCTACTTCAAATGGAGCTGGAAGAACAAGTATGTTGAAATTATACAAGTGACTACTGGATCTGTCACCAAAGAGGCACTAGTGGCCTAGGTGATAGTAGTCTCTGCACAATATTAAGAAGGAAAATCTTATTGGAGTAGATTCTCAAAGAATAGCAGGAAATTAAAGATGATGAGTATAGTTGAAGAGAGACACTTGGCATTACTGAAGTGAGGCTGTGAGTTTTGCAGGGTCTAGATGGTTTGTGTGTGTGTTTGTTTTAAGGTAGTTTATATTTCAGTGTGTTTTAAATTGATGGAATTATCAACTTAAAGATTAATAATGGAATGGCCAGCCACAATGGCTCATGCCTATATTCCTAACACTTTGGGAAGCTGAAACAGGAAGATTGCCTAAGGCCAGTTCAAAACCAGCATGGGCAACATAGTGAAATCCCATCTCTACAAAAATAAAAATAAACAAATTAGCTGGGCATGGTGTTACACACCTAGAGTCCCAGCTACTTGGGAGGATGAGGCAAAAGGATGACTTGAGCCTAGGAGTTTGAGGCTGCAGTGAACTATGATTGTACCAGCGCACTCCAGCCTAGGTGACACCATGAGACCCTGTCTGGAAAACAAAACAAATATTGATGATGGAAAAGGTTATCCATGGAGGAAAGAAAGAGGATATAAGAGATGCATCATCCTTGTGTAGATGAGAGAAGATAAGCCTGAGTGTTCAAGGAACAACAGGAAAAATACACTCGTAGACAAAGGCTGGGAGAGTCACGTAATTTTCTGACACTTCCTTCTCCTTTTCTGTGATGGTCACACTCTCTAGTGTGAACCTTAGAGATGCGTGCAAGATCTCCACGAATCCAGGGAATCTAACTCGAGTCCCAGGGTTCAGAATTATAAAAGAAGGTTACTCACATAGGTACATACTCTTAGATGACTAGCCATGGTGCTGAGCCCAAAACCCACACAAGGCTCACATCACAAACCTTCATATTTACAGCAAATAACGTTGACAGCCCAGTTCATCCAGACCCACTGTATGGGCATGTAGAATAACATCTTTTCTTAGTGTGATAGTCAATCTGACTGAGCTAAGGGCTGCCCAAATCGCTGGAAACACATTTATTTCTGGATGTGTTAGTGAGGGTGTTTCCAGAGGAGATGAACATTTGAGTCAGTAGATTGAATAAAGAAGATTGCTTTGACCAATATAGGTTGGCATCATTCAATCCATTGAGGGCCTGAATAAAAAAATAAAAATAAAAGGTGAAGGAAGGACAAACTTACTCTCTCCTCTGAATCTGGTACATCTGTCTTCTGCTCTCAGTCATTTTATTTAGACTGAAACTATACCATGAGCTTTCTTGGACTTCCAATTTGCAGAAGGCAGATTGTGGAATGTCTCAGACTCTGTAGCTATGTAAGTCAATCCCCCATAATAAACACCTTTCTATCTATCTGCCTATCTATCTATCTATCTATCTATCTATCTATATCTATATCTATCTATATATATATATAGATATCTTATTTGTTTTTGTTTCTCTAGAGAACCCTAATACACCAAATACATATCTGAACATTACACTATTGTTGTTCTTATAGTTTGATCAAGGGTCATTGTCAAAGCTGCAGAGATAAGCAAGAATTAAGTAAAACAGACCCACCACATTAACTATTTCATCAAGGTGAATACCTATAGATGTGATACCATAGGTGGTATGGTTTGTCTCTATGTCCTCATCCAAATCTCATGTTGAATTGTAGTTTCCAATGCTGGAGGTAGGGCCTGATGGGAGGTGATTGGGTATGGAGGTAATTTCTAATGGTTTAGGACCATCCTCCTAGTGCTGTCTCATGAGAGAGTTCTTACAAGATCTGCTTGCTTGAAATGTGTAATGCCTTTCCACTCTCTCTCTATCCTGCCAGCCAAGTGAAAATATGCTTCCTTCCTCTTTGCCTTCCACCATGACTGTAAGTTTCCTGAGGCCTCCCCAGAAGCAAAAGCCTGTGCAGCCCACAGAACCACAAGCTGATTAAACCTATTTTCATTATAAATTACCCAGTCTCAGGGAAGTCTTTATAGCAGTGTAAGAATGGACTAACACAATGTGCAAGTTCCCTCCAATATGCTTCTTTTTTTTTTCCTTAGAAAAACGCAAAGCGAGGTCATTAGCCAAGTTTGAAGAGCACAAGCAGG